ACACACCTACTTTCACTCCATCTTCCACTCCCTAAGAAAATCTTGTCTCAGGCTAAGGATATGGCTCAATGGTAAGGTGCTTGCCTATTATGTACAAAGCTCTGGATTCAATCTTTGGCACTGCAAAAGAAAAATATATATGAATACCTCATCTGCATTGTACTTACTCTAAGCCCAAGAGCCTTGCATGTAAATGACTTATGGCAGTGGAAAGGGTAATACCTCCATACTCCATCATTTATGTGGTTCATAGCTTACAAGTCAGATGCATTCAAAAGCACAGTCTCTAGGAGGATATCTAAAGTTTTTACAGCTGACAGAGCACAGACAGAGGATCAATTAGGACAAAGATTGGTTGCAATGCTGAGTGTGCCCTGGGACCCCTCACCTCCACTGTGCCAGGCATTGCCCATAGGTGTTGGTCTATAGGGAAGTTAGTAAGAGTCCAAAGGGAAGGGCTGAGCAATGAGGTCAGCATGGGGGAAGGGGTGTTTTGGGCAAATTCTGAGCCTCAGCCATTACTACCCAAGTATAGAAGTACACCAGTGTTTTTATACCTGTGCAGTCATAGTAGTGCCTACTTGGTATTCTGATTAATTTTTTCCAGGACATTTGGAGAGAGACCTTTTACTTCAGCTACTTAGGAAGTACAGTCTCTATAAAGTTCCACAATGTCCCAACCTCTCCTATAGCCAGAGTTCAGAGCATGGGGACCCCCAACTGAATAGAGGAGGTGGGAATCCTGGGCAGCCAGAGGCCACCATGATGGCTCAGGTCCCATCAAGGCTAAGGGTATAGGGAAAACAGTAAAAAGAATAGAAAGAGGGGTATGTATGCATGTGTATGGCAGGTAGGGGAACAACACTGAGAAACTGCCTGTTCTTACTCATGGTTTTGCTGTGGCCCCTGCCAGTCCTGAGTGATACCAAGAGGCTATTTCTACAGTCTATAAAGTCTCTTGTCCTTTATCTGAATATTGTCACCTAGAGAGAATATAGTCACCTTTAGAGCACTACTTGTGGCATCTGTGATCTTAGAAAATGCTGTGCCTTAAAGGAATCTTCCTCAGCTCCCTGCAAATACTCAATTGCCTGGCTGGGGGGAATCCCCAGCCCAGTGGAGTCTGACATAGCAGAAGTCAGTTGACATTTAAGAGGGTTTCTGCCTAAAGAAAACCTGGGACTTAGGCAGTTGAATATACAACTCTATTTTCTTTTCTGTGGACATAGGCCCCAAATATCGGTCAGCATTAGCTCAGAACTCCAGGTACCCCTGTGTATTTGAGGCTAGGGAGGACTCAAATTACCCCATTCTTCTGGAAAGGACCCTTTTAGATTAACAAGTAAACCCCTGGTCTCTTGGGGAAAGGGTGCTTAGTCATAGCAACTGTGCCAGAAAGTGGGGACTCAGCACGTGGGACTCCAGGTCTACCTAAGTCATGGGAAGTCTAGGGGAGCTGTTCAAAGGGCCCATGATATGAGACGATGCTAGCTTCTCAGCTCCTTCACACACCCAACAAAGGGACAGGAACATAATTTGAACAGGCTCAGCTACCCTCAGTGATAGTTCTGAGTGTCTGGTTCCTTCTGCTATTATTCCTCAACTGTCCTGGTGAGTCCTGGCACCCTTCTACAAGTGGCTGTGACGTAAGTCATGGAGGCAGTTTCCATGAGGCTGCACACAAGGTGGGCACACAGGAAGATGCCTGCCCAACAAAGTGTATTAATAGGTGTGAGTCTTGTCCCAGTCCAATATGACAAAATAAAAAAATGAATGTCCAGGCATATGTCTTGGTCCACAGAACAAGATTTCTTTCCTTATGCATCATAATGATACATTTGTCATAAACCTCTTGGAAAAGGCTGGCATTCTGATACGAAGTTAAAAACAAAATGCAAATTCTAATCCTTAAGAGAGTCATCTTTGCCTGTGTTTTCCCTTACTTGTCCTGTGGTCTATGCCAACTTAGTGTCAGAGACAGCATGTCACATGATTTCTTTTAAAATTGGGCTCTGGCTGGTGCTGCTTTTCCTACCCACTGCCCATCTGCCAGCTCTACACGCAACCTCGGTGCTGGGTGTGGTGGGAGAATTGCCAGAGAGTGCTCAAGTAAGAACTGAAATATTTGACTGGCCTTGGTCCTAACAAAGGCAATTTTATTACCCTAAATGTCCTGAAAACCCTGCTGCCTCTGGCATAAGGAGCTTCCAGGCTCAGTCATTCCATCTGCAGCGAGCCCTGGCGCCCTTCTACAAGTGGCTGTGACGTGAGTCATGGAGGCAGTTTCCATGAGGCTGCACACAAGGTGGGCACACAGGAAGATGCCTGCATCTTCCTTCATCAGGAGTGAGAGGCCAACAAGCTAGGGATGGCCATGGGCTCTCATAGGTTTGTGGTGCAGACCAAGGAGTCTTATCGGAAGGAAGGAGGACAGTCTCTAGGCGAATAGGTAGTCCAGCCCGAGGCCAGTTAGCAGAGGCCCCAGTGATAACTGCTGGGCATCATTCATAATATCAAAACCAGACATTGCCTTAGGATGGAAAAAACATGTTGGATTCTTTCTTACCCTTTCTCTCATTTCCAGGACAGTGAGATCCAGTTACATAATTCTTTCATTTTGAGAAAATCTTCCTCTCATTCAATGAGGGAGCCTCAGACATATTTTTTCAGTGCTTTATTAATGTTACACACAAAACAGACCTTATTTTTATTTGAGTTAGCCAAATAAAATGTTTTGTACAAGGCAAACACCTCACTGTTTAAGTTAAAATAAATAAGACTGTTCCATTCTGCAGAAAGCTCTAGTTGGCACATACAAATAAAAGACCTCAGTAATAAATAAGTTAAAACAAGTAGTTATAGTTGTGAGGCTCTGTGAGGTTCAGCCTGTTTGCTTCCTAGCTTTAATCTCAACCCCACCCTTTAACTTGTTTATGATGCTGAGTCTAGCTCCTCAATGAGGAAGAGCTTGATACCCATCTCCAAATCATTTCTGGATAGTAGCATCAGGTGCTTAGAGTCTAAAAGAGTGACAAAGACCAGATATTAGTGAGGTGGTGTACAGGCCCCATATACATCCTCATACCTTCTTCCAGTTCACCTGGAATTGCAGAAACAGGAAACCTAGGGACCACGGAGATAGCTCAGTAGAATAAGTGCTTGCCTGGCAGGCACAAGGGCCTGAGTTCAATCCTTGGTTCCGCCAAAGATAAAAATAAAATTCAGAAACAGGAAACCTAGAGAGAGCAGAAGGCAAGGCATGGCCACAGAGCAGCAGGCAGAAACGTCATTTGAGTCTGAGAATAAGAATGTTCAAACTCTATTGTATACCAAGAGATAGCAATTTCCAATACAATCTTAGGCTAAATCTTACTGTAATGAAAATTTCTAGTTTAAGCCTCTTAATTGGAAAGCAAGCCTTCTGTGGGTAGAGATCAGGCCAGAGATGACAAATCTACAAGACCTGTTTCACCTCTCCCCACAAAAGACAGGCATTACTCATCGATCACTGTACTTTTCTACCTCTGTCTTCTCCACACAGCAGCTCTAGTGTTTTAGAGGAGCATTTTTTACCAATTTAAGTCCTTCTCTCTGTTCTGAACTATTTTGTGTGAAGGAGTAGATAAAACATATGGCTTGAAGCCTGAAGTCCATATAATTTAGGTGCCTTCACACTAATCATTTAACCTCCTTGAATTGGTATCAAAGTACAAAACTGGCATGGCTACCTAACTCAGAGCAGTTAGGGAGATTATGACAATTTATGCATAGTGTTCAGTACCACAACTCACATACAGTATGCAGTTAATAAGTGACAGATATTATTAGCATTATTAATATCATTTTAAGGCTACGATATTGACAATAAAATTGACAATAGCATTTCCACTGAAAGAAGGAAAGTATCATATATTAGGCTGAACCATTTGACATGAATGTTCAGCTGTTTTGATCTACAGAAATGGCAATTTCTTCGGTTCAATCTAATGAATTATGTATTTCATTCAAATCACTTACTTGTTCCAACTTTATCAGATTTTTCTCTTCAAAAATTGCATCCAGAGACATGATCCCACCATTTATAAACTTCCTCATATCATTGCTAGGGTGAGCAGAAAATGAAGTCTACTGGAGAGCAATCAAGGACCTGGTAACTAGTCCTACTATCTGGTCATGTAACCTACTAGTTCCAGGTAACCAGTTCTTCTACTAGTGGCATAGCCTCCAGATGGCTTGTTTTCCCCATATGTAGGTTAGGAATAACTCCATTTTCTTCAACTAGGGTTTTGTGTTGATGAGCAGAGAAAATGGTTGGGAAATCACCTTTAAAAGTTAAAAGTACTGAACAAAAGCAAGGTATTATTTGTTTCACTAGATTATGCTATGTTAGAAAACATTCACAATTAACTTAATATTTTTCTATAGAAAACCTGCACATAAAAGAATATAGAATTCATGCAATCATGCCAAATGATCATCAGAATTGATCTTGATGGATACTGTCAAGTAAATAGAACTACTAAGTACATGATGTTTTTGTTCTTAAAAATTGTACCTCATCAAGGTGAAACAAACATGAAATGACAATAGAATCATTGGGTTTAGAAGTGACTCAGATGGCAAGCTTTTATACAAGAAATCAAACATTTTGGAAAAACTGACAAGGAAGACAGAGGAATTGTCTTCTTCCCCTGGAGGTCTTTAAGATGGGCTGCGGAAGTTTGATTTTAGTATAGCTTTGCCTAAAGATAAGGAAAAGTGAACTTTATGACCTCCCAAAGCACTTTAAGACCAATGGCTTCAACAATTCTAAGTAACAGTTTTTGGTTTTTTGCTCCTTTCCTGTGCCCTAAACCAGGGTGACTAGCTGGTGAGGGAAGATGATGTACTTGGGCCAGCTGCTAGGAGAGGTAAGTGTGGCTCAGTCCCGATCTTCACATTTCTTTTTTCCCTTGTCCTGTGAACCTTGGCCAATGCAAGGAAACTGGGAAGGGTCATCTTTAGTCAGCCTCAAAGGCGCTGTTGGTAGCTCCCACATATTCTGATTTTTTCTTGTGCCTGGTCCACATTTTCCGGAGGATTCCTGGGACACCACAGGAAGCACTGCCCGTCAAGGGGAGGGAGGCCTCACCTCCCTGTGGAAGGGTTGGATACTCTTCAGCCATCTTCTTGAGATGCCTGGATCTAAAACAAAGCCAGGGGTAGTCAGGGATGGTAGTCACTGTGCTGAGCCACACTTCAGTTTAGCCTTTGAAGTGAGTATGCAGAACTCTCTGTCCTCCTCTGCATCTGCATCTGTGGTCAGGCTCTGCACAGCTGGAGAGTCACTGTGCTGACCCACACAGGAAGGTTCCCAAGAGGAGACCTTTCCATGAGGCGAGGGGCAGTGGTGGTTCATGGTATTTCAAGTCCTGTTCCTGCCTCCTTTTTTTGAGTCTGGCCTTGCTTGAGTCTATTTTCTCACCACTCCCACTTCCATGTGAGCAATTTTGCCAGAAAGAGCAGGTGCCCCAAAGAATCAGTCACTGAAAGGGCATGATATATAGGGTGGAATTCTACTCTCTGCTTACTGGGTAACTTCAGGCAAGTGACTGAATCTTCACCAGCCTGATTGTTTTTGCACAACACACAGATGCTTACATCTAATACCTTGGGCTTTTGTGAAAAGAAAAATGAGGTAATAAAACATCTGGCACATTGTAGAGCTCCATAAATGTTCATTTATTCTCCCCATGTACTACCTTAAGGCGAAAAACATGATAGAATTTTCTTTTCAACCCCCAAGATCCTAGAACATATTGAACTCAGACAGAAAGGAGCCATTGAGAACTCTTTGCAATGCAGCCATCTACAACTGAAAGATCAACCCCTACCAAGGTACCATGAAGTTTTGCTGACCTATATGAGGAGTCAGCTGTTGGTATTTAAGAATAATTTGCTACTGGAGCCTCAAAAAAGCCAAATGATTTAAACAAAAACCTTTTCTAAAAACAAAACAACAACACACCTTTTCTCCAATTAAGCCCCTCCAGGTGACCTTCTGTCATCTAGAAGTGCTCCACTGTGCTCTATTAGGTCAACTCCCACAGTGTTGGGTTTGCACCCCTTGCACTGATATTTGCTATGATTTTAATATGGCTTGCCTCCTCTAAAACTCATGTTGAGATATAATCCCTATCTCTATCATGAGCTATTAAGAGGTGGGATCTTTAAGAGGTACATAGGGCTCTGTCCTCATAAATGAATTTATCAGTCATGGTACTAATGGACTAATGGGTTAATGGGCTATTTTGAGGATAGTTTGGTTTGGGATCCAAATTTAGAGAATAGGTTGATTATAAAAGACAGCTCAGCTAGGTCCTTCATATGTTCCCTGTCCATCACTATATGACACCCTGTGCCTTAGGACTCTGCCTTCTTCCTGGCAGCACTGGATATCACCCTTCAACCTGGGGCCAGGGCAGTCTGTGAGTCAAATAAATCTCTGCTTTACAACTCCATGGTATTATGTTGTTAGCAACATGAGAAATTTTAGCCTGTGTTTTTTTTTCTATGTACACCGAACACTTTTTCAAGTACACAGCTTCCTAACTACTGGTCTAAATTTCCTGGAAAATGTTGACAATGGTTTAAGCTAAGCTTTCTACACACAATTTCATTCAATTCTCACAAAGCCCTCTCAAGATGGGTACTCTTCTTTCCTTTTTTTTTTTTTTTTTTTTTTTGCTTGTTTTAAAATAGATGAGGGCTGGGGAGATGGCTAAGTAGAATAAGCGCTTCCCTGGCAAGAGCAAGGGCCTGAGTTCAATCCCTGGTTCCTCCAAGAGAGAGAGAGAGAAAAAAAAAAAATAGATGAGATGCCAGGAACTATATAGCTTCTCTTATGCCTGAGTTGGTGTAAGTATCAGGACAGAAAGCAGATAAGTCAACAGTTCATACCTTTTACCATCTCCTAAACCACCTGGCTCCATCTTTAGAGTGGTGGGCAGTAGAGCAGATCATAAAAGTTCATGCTGAGTTACCTATTGTCTTACTGGCTGAAGCCAGTGAGGGTGTGTTGGGGAAACTCCTGCTGTCCTAGCTGCTGGCTCTGGGCCAGAATTAACATGCATATTTGGGTTATAGTTTGATTTGACCTGTCTGTATCTTACACATTTCTTTATCAGGGAGCCCCAAGTGAATTCATGAGGCATTTCTGACATTGTACAAATTGAAGGTTCTGAATATGGCTCGTGATGTCATTCATCTAATAAATAGAATTCCTCCCAAATGACATTTTTCCAAGCCTAAAGAATGGTGGTAATGAAGTGGAAACCATGCAAAACACTTCAGCTTAATCCTGGGAAACAGTTGATGAGGAGCTACTCAGACCCAGAATTATGGTCCTCATTACAAGGTAATTTGCAGCTGGCATGGGATTTAGCATCTTGAGTCTGAAAACCAGGCCACCTGTTGCTCTTTTGTGGCAGGGTCAGGACAGCATAGGGACCCAAGCAAGTGTTGGAGACAGAAGGCACAGTACTTACCCTCTCCCCAGGACAGCTCTGTTCTCTGTGGCTGCTGCCTCTACTGTGGCTGGAGCTTTCACTGAGATTCGGGTCACAGGAGGAATCTGTATTAGGAGGAAGGAGAAAGGAACTCAGAATCGTCCACATTCCTACCCTAGCACTGACTGGGCCATTTGAAAAGGGATGGCTGAAGTGATCACTGAAAACCTGGGCCATACATCTCACTCGTCAGCAGACATCAGCCATTGGAATAAGTCTTGGGGAAACAGCCCATCTGGTATCTCAGCAGGTCTGATGGGGCCCTGAGCATCTGCATTCTTAACAAGGTAGGGGGGTTTGATCCCCAGGCCTGCTATGCCACCCGCCTCCAGGGCACGCTCAGATGGCAATTGAGACTGGGCATAGTGGTGCACACCTGTAATCCCAGCTCTTAGGAAGCTGTAAACAGGTGGATCACTACAAGTCCGATCTAGTAGTGAGACCCTTTCCTAAAATACAAAAACAAAACAACAACAACAAAGAAAAACAAGTTTCTGATCCTGGGAGAATCACTGGCTGAAAGACACTTGAGAGTGCTACTCAATCTTGGGTGAGATTTGTTACCCTTCCATCCCTATCATTGGTGCCTAACTGTCAAATCCTGCTGATTCTTTAAACAGGCTGTCCACACTAGTCTCAATTTTTCCATTTGTCCCCTGTAGGATTTAAGGAACAGTTACCCCACACCCCCTTGTTTCTGACAAGACCTGCTATATTTTCCATTTCCTTCTTGGAATCTAGAATGAATCATCAGGACTACCGTGGCAGGGCAGACTAAGGCCAACTTTCCAGCATGTTCTTCAACATTCTATAGCATTGGATTCTGCCTTATTGATGTAGCTTGGCTGTTTACTCTTCCCTGTGTCAGCAGTTCCACTGCCGGGCCTTGGTCTTCCTTCCCTCATGCTTGCCCACAAATCTATACTTTTCCTTCCCTTTGAATAGAGGCTTCATTTCCGCCTGCCTTTCAAGGCCAGGTTTTTCTAGAAGCCTTCCCTGAGGTAGTAGTCCAAGTTGGGGATCTTTCTCTGTATCTGTGTCCCCTTTGTTCTTGAACTTGTTTAATATATTTGTCCAGTCTCTTTGGTTCAGAAAGATTATGTGGTGAGTGTCAGAGTGTGAGACTTAACCCACTTATTAGCCCTCATCTGCCTTTCCAAAGGAGGTGGTAAATACTCAGGGAGCAGGTATTGAATTGAAAATTAACTGATGGCTTAACCAGGGCAAAGTCCAGAGGTTACTCAGTCAATGGACACATGGATGCTTTGTTCTTCTATGCCAAGGCTCATCAAAGGCTTTAATTCAACATTCCTGAAATCACAAAAATTGCAGGTCAAGGGCACCAGTATTCACGAGCTCCTCACCAAAGCAGGCTGGATTGTGGGCAGAGTCACTGTGCCATCTTGTGGCCTCTCCTAAGCACTCCCTTCCCCCTGGTGCCAATGGCCAGGTAAACATACACCAGGGCTCCTTAGCTGTGGAGGGGAGGCCCTTGTCCTGGTTCCTTTTCCCTCTTTCCTTAGTTTCATCCCTAATTCATCTCAGCATTGAATCAGACTTAGGCGTTTAGGCTTTGCATTGCTTTCTTGTTCCAGGATAATGAAATTGTGGAGTTGCAGGACAGTCTATTTTCAGGCCTACCTAAAGAGAAACACTACCTCTTCCTCCTCTTCATTATTATCGCCTTCTCTTTGTAACCACATTTATCTTACCCCAGTTTCCTCTGAACTCCTGCTGCAGCTGCCTCTCTGCCAAGTGCACTGTGTGAGCTTCACCCACAGGAGGCACAGGGAGGTACAGCTTAATCCAAGGCCGTGGGACACTCTCTAACCATCAACCTTTATCTTTGATTTAACCAGGACAGCAGTTTGAGCTGAGTGATCATAGTCTGATGACCCTTTCTCCATGTCAACTGCTTGGCCATCCCAAGTTCCTCGAGAACAAGGTTGGGGAAGGGTCTTCCTTAACAACAGCTTGTCCCATTCCACATCCTGTGTGATTTTACTAATATCCCAAATGAAATCTAATATCTTAAATGAATTAGGTCTGTCCAGACAAGGAGGGAAGTGTTTTGCTCCAATTTGTTTTATAAGGATATAAGAGACTAGCCAACACACTCTTCTTGGGGCAGCCCACAAGCTGTGATGGAATGAGAAGGGAATACAAAGCCATTATGGCCCAGCTCAGATGGCCCTGAATGGGCAACTATCCTCAGAGATCCCCATGATGAAATTTTGGGCTTGCATGGTTCGGTTGCCTGTCTCCCCAATTCTGGTCACTGGTGTTGGTTGTTAATATACATGTTGTACCTCAAACCTTAAGTCCCAGAGCCTGCTTCCAGAGAACCTCACCTGTTGTAGAAGCTCCCAGAGGTGTATGCCCTGAGATGACTAGTAATAATGGATAGAGTGTTTATGTGCTCTTCAAACACATGAGGTGAAGCCCAAATCTCCTACATGATGGTATTAGGAAGTTGGGCCTCTGGAAGATATTTAGGTTTAGATGAAGTCATAAGGACAGTGCCTGTGATGGGCCTCATAATAAGAAAAAGAGAAGTCAGAATTTTCTATCTTCTTGTATTCCTAGAGGAAAGACCATGTGAATATACAGCAAAAAATCATCCATTTGCAAACCAGCAAGAGAGCCTGGGTGAGACACCGAGTCAACTTTGATCTTGGACTTCCCAGCTTCCAGAATGGTGAGATGTTGTTTGAGTCCCCTGGCCTATGTAATTTTGTTACAGCAGCCTGAGCTCCCTAAGATACTAGTGTTTTGTGTTTACTTGAGGACTTTGTATCTCTTTACTCCAGAGTAGCACTAGGGAATTAGGCATTCCCATCCGGCAGGGTCTATGCTAGAAACCAGTTTTCCCCATAAATGAGATGTCCCATTTTTAGCCTGTATATGCCTAAAAGCTGAATTTCTGGCAATAAAGAGAAGCAGCCAATGATGTGTCACAAAAGCACAAAGAGGGTTGACTGATAGCTTTTAGGAGCAAAGAGCCACAGTTAGGCTTTTCTAATAATCCTCAGACTAGTGCAAAAGACACCTAGTCTCTTTATGGCACTGGATAAACACACAGAAGTTAAAATCGTTTCAGATATAACTAATCAAACTTATCTTACCAGCGATTTTCCATATGCTCGATTTCCACACAGATTTGATGTTTTAGGTTCAGAAATTCCCACTGTGAAATTGAACAGAGGAGATATTACTCAGTGGTACTCCGAGTTCTGCTTCCTTCTGGTTCTGCATCAGCTATCTTGTTTGCCAACCAATCTCAGAAAGTAACTTCTTGAGGTCTTTGTAACAAGCAGCAAAGCCAGGCCATAGAGTCAGGCAATGGTAGCTGCCAAGTGGGGTGACCTGCATCTTATCCCTCTACCAGGGGCTGGAACCAAGGTGTACATGGGATCAGTGTGTCAATGCAATTTTATTAACTGTCTTAACAGTATCACTCTGGAAGGGAATATTGATAATGAAGGAGGTTGTCTAAGTGTGGAGGAAGGAGAGGAACATATGGGTAATCTGTGTACCTTCAGCCTACTTTTGCAGTGAACCTAAAACTGTTCTAAAAATTAAGGTCAATTTTTAGTTTT